TAGATAGGCCCTCTCAATCACTGGCTATTATTAAAGGACTCTTAATTTGACTATCAATATATGGTGTTCCTCTGTGCCTCACATTCAGTATTACAATTTTCAGGCCCTAGTGAGATGATCAGTCTAAACTTTGGATTTCTCTGACTTGGAGAATTGTTGCAGGGAAGGGGCCTTCTGAGATATTCCAGAGCCTGTGATTATCAGGGCAAAGAATCCTGGAGTGACTGCTGTGTGACCCCTGAGGTAAAACTGAAAAAGTCCTTCTGGTCCTCTGAGGAGGTAAGATCTGATATACCTGATCTGGAACTTCATTCTAGTCTGGTCTTATCTTGTCTAGTATTTAATAATGTGAATGTGGTCCTAACAAGGACCCTCCTTCAACCTTTCTCAGTATTCAAGATGTTGACTGGGAAGGTCCAGTAAGAATCCAGTGCACCATTGAGAACTGGTTACTCAGTCTCAAGGGGTTCAGGTATGTTCTGTATATAAAAATAATTGGATGATTAAATGAGTGATTGGGCAGTTGGATGAAACTAATCCAGGGGTTCCTGCTTTTGTCCTGTCTATTGTGGAATGAGAGCACATCCTTATTTGTTTCAAGTGGCCTGTGACCTGCTGCTGTTTTACGACTATCTGTTCTGACATACTTGAGGCTGTTTTATAGCTTTTTATACTCTCCCCTTCTCTCCCTGTCACAGATGCTGACAGACACCCTACTGAGCATCCCCCCTTCCCTTGCCCAGGGTACTCCCTCTCCCCTTCACCTGGATTGTTCACAGCCACCTGTAGCAAAAGACCACAGTCAACATTTCCCTGTTAAACATTAGTTTTGTGCCCCAATCCTCTTGCAATCTTTTCTTTGTTTGTGTTTTACCTTGAAGTTACACACACTTGGCTTTGGGATTGATGGAATCTGATGGTCTGCTAATTTGTCCCAAAGAAAACCTAAAGCTATGTCTTCTTTCCGTATGGCAGCTTGCTTCTGAGTTCCTTCCCTCTCTAGTCAGGAAAGGTGGAGAAGAGGGAATACAACTTGGGGATTGCATCTAATATGTTGTCGACTGGATTCTGTTATCTGCCCCTTCTGTGCTAGTGACATAAAAGGAAAAATCAAAGTGTCCCAGTCAGGCTGGACTGCCACAGTCTGAGACTCATTCCTCTTCTCTCTGAAGGTAGTGTTCCTGGATGTTAGGATAGGTAATAGACTCTCTATGACCATCTTGCTCTTACTCTCTTCTCCACCCTTCTGAGGGCATCAATCTCTAGATGACTATTACCAAGGAGATGCTGTTCTACTCTGCCTTATTACTAGAAAGAAAAAAAAAAAAAACTAGTCCTCTCACTTTTCATCAGCTAAGTGTCTATCCTCCACCTTCATCATCAAATATGCTTTTCAGAGCTCAAGGAAAGTGGGAATAGACTAGTATATTTGGGACCTGCATATAGAAGGATGAAATATGCTATTGGGAAAGACTCAAGTTTTAAAGTTTTAATGTTGTCTGAAAAACAGGAGGGAAAAAGATACATTTTTTTCTAAAATAAAAATGCCTAGTTGTATCAGAATATGAAAAAAGACAAAAATCCCACTCACAGATATATGATAAGTTACAAAAGGCTGGAGAAAAATGTGAAGTTTATTTACTTTGGTTTAATTTTTGTCAAATTTCTTCGTAAGACAGAAAAAAATAATGGCAATTCTTTACTGCCAAATGTTTCTTTTTAAAATGCGATTATATACTTTAAAGGTAGGGGATTATAAACCTGTGTGTTTCAAGGTTTATAATGAGGATCAATTCAAGTCAGTATTAACCACTACATGAAATATCTGCCAATGCAAATGAAGACTGGAAAAGGCTGTAAGTAAATTAGTCTACTTGAGGCATGGAACAGTGCTATTCCTGTACCCCCTCATCTTCTGATCTTGGAGGCTGGATGCCTGTTCTTTGTCAGAGACTTTCTCACCTAGTAACCCCACTGGTTTGGTCAGAACTGACTGAGCACACTAATGAAAAGCCATGAAATGGGGTGATGAGGAAGACTTCACTAAACCTTTTCTGTCATCTCCCTCTCATTTCAGCAGATTTCCCAGTCCTCCTCACACTTCCCATAAATGGATTTGGGGAATGTTAAAAATGAAAAAAAAAAACCCTGAGTAATTGTTAATGCTGGTGGGATACAGTGATTTTCAGAGCCTTTCTCTTTTATTCTATGCTTAATCAAGCCTACTGCTACTGCATCTCTGTCTACTGGGGGTGCTTGTCCATTAGGTCCTCTTCTGGATCCTGACTTAAAGTTATTGTGAAGCTATAATTGTTCTATGGGCACCTGTGTGTACTGGTAACGTCTTGAGTGCCAAGAAAACTTCCCATAACCTTTGTCCATGCGACTATGTTTTTTGCCATCTTTGCTTACAGCAGGCAGATCAGTACCCCTAACCAACCCCAGTCGAACTTTGAAAGAGCATCCAGGGGAGTTTCAGTACTATGAATATATGCAGGTGTCCTGCCAAACTCCAGCTCTTCTTCCTATCTGCCTTCTGCCCTGAGACCCAGTCCTGTCTAGGACCCCAAGGGAGGACATGCAGGACTTGTGACTGGGTGATCACAGGGGCTGCTCTGCTGATGGATTCCCCTAAGTACCTTGAAAGGCCTTCTCAAGACTTGAGGGTCTCCCTGCCCCTACTGTCCTGGGGTGCAGTCAATAGCCAGTGCATCCAGGACCTGAGATCCAGGGTCCTGGATTGGACTTCAGACAGCATCGGGGTCATAGGGGCCCTGCAGCAAGTCAATCTCTCATTTTCTGAGAAGCTTCAGATCCTGAATGCTTCTGAGAATTGGACACTTTTCACTGGACTCTTCTAAAGGAATCAGGGGACAGTGCAAAAGCCCGTAAATCTATCCAAAACAACCAAGGTTCACTAAATTTGGTCTTTGTTCTGTTCAGGGAAACCCTTCAGAAGAACTTGACAAGCTTCAGAACCTCATATCCTGACTCAGTACTGTTCTAGTATATGGATGACCTCCTATTTAGCAGCTGATGACCCAGCCACATGCCTACAAGGCACACCCAAAACCTGCTCCAGTTGCTTCAGGCCCTGAAGTACCATGTCTCCGTGAAGAAAATTCAACTTTGCCAGACATAATCTCCTAATTGGGATATAAACTATTGAGGTAATAGAACTCTTACTGTGACCCAGAAGGAAGTCATAGTCCAAGTATCCATGTAGTAAACTAAAAAATCACATACATAAATTCCTGGGGGCAGTAGAATATTGTCAACTTTGGATTCTGGGCTTCACTGAAAAAGCAAGGCCCCACTCCTCAGTCATGGATAGAGTTAGAGGAAGAAGCTTTCCAAAACCATAAAAGGCCCCAGCTCTGGTCTTGCCTGATGTCCACCATTTCATTCATGAAGCCCAGGGGATTGAAAAAGACACACTTACTCAGACTTTGGGACCCTGACAAAGGCCTGTACTTTTCCAAGTGCCTAGATCCAGTAGGTTCAGGATGGCTCTCTTTTCTATGCACCATAGCTGTTACTGTTCTACTAGTGAAAGAGACTGGTAATCTCACCTTTCCTAAGACTTAACTCTTAAGTCCCCCACCATCCAGTGGAGCCCCTCCTCCAGGGAGCAAATGACTGATGGATATCAAATGCCTGCATCATTCATTACCAGAAACTGCTGCTTAATCAGCTCTATCTCACCTTCAGCCTGGCAACACTGATGACCAATGATAATTCAAGGGTCATGCCCCTACATGACTGTGAAAGATATGTATATGTATGTATAATGACCGTTACTTTCTATCACTTCTATCTGTATTACAGAAATGATAGAATATATATCCATGCAATGTTTCCATCTTTGTCACTGATTTTATTAATTTTGTCCTTTCTCTGTTTTGGCTAGTATGTTTATAGTTTTGTTTAACTTCATCTTTTCAAAGAACCAACTCTTCATTGATTCTTTTAAATGTTTTCTTTGTTTATATTTAATTAATTTCAATCTTGATTTTGATTATTTTGATTATCTCTTCTAGTCTACTCTTTTGGGGCATTGATTGTTCTTGTTTTTCTAATATCTTCAGATGTATAATTAATTATTAATATGAGATGAGGCATCTCTAATTTTATGATGTATACACCTAGTGCTATAAACTTCTCTCTTAGAAATGAATTCACCATGCCTCATAGATGTTAGTATGTTGTGTTTTCACCCTAAAGTTTAATTAAACTTTAGAAATTTTTTAATTTCCTTCTTGACTGTATTTTCATTCAGTAGTGTACTTCTTAGTTTCCATGGGTTTGTGTATTTCTTTCCCATTTCTGTTGCTGATATCCAATTTTACTCCTTTGTGATCAGAAAGGGCACTGGATATTATTTCAGTTTTTAAAAAATTTGGTGAGACTTCCTTTTTACCCTAATATGTGATCAATTTTCTAGGAAGCTCCATGGGCTGTTGAGAAGAAAGTACATTCTTTGGTGTTTGCATGGAATGTTCTGTAGATTCTCTTAGGTCCATTTGATTTATGATGCCTTTTAACTCCGGGGTTGTTGGTTCAGTTTTTCTCTGGATGACATGTTTTTTGTTGAGAATCCTGCTGCCACAGCTTACCAGAAGTCCTCAAGTCTTCATAGTCTCCCTCTCCCTTTAGGATTCATTTGACTGCAACAGGGACTCTCCAATTGCCACACATGGGCTGGAGACCCAGATGGGATGTTCCTACCCACTTGGACCACTCTAAATCCCAGAGATCAGCTCCATGTCATATCCAGGAGTTGAAATTGCACAGAGGCACTTTATGTAATAAATACCCAGTTTGTGCAGGTTCTGAGATAATTGCAGTTGATTTTGGATTATGAACTTGCAAACCCATTTCTAGAAGTTTTAAACCATTTAATTTAAGGCACTGAACTATTTACATATCATAATAAAAGTATAATTGGAAATGGAGACACACCTAAGTATACAAAACATTTCATGTAGCTTTTCTACATACTATGACTGCTTTCCCCTATAAAATTCATAATGATGTAGTTTCCATAAAAAGTTCCACAAAGCAGCTTTGATTTCCTTATTTCTTAGGCTGTATATTATAGGATTCATAGATGGAGGCAGCACAGAATAAAAAACAGACAACAAAAAATCCAAAAGCTGTGGGGAATCGGGAACTGGTTTTAAATAGGCAGTGACAGCAGTGACTGAAAATGTGGTGATGACTATGAGATGGGGTATGCAGGTAGAAAAGGCTTTTGACCTTCCTTGTAACAAGGGCATTCTCAGCACTGTGTTAAAAATGTAAACATATGAAAACCCAATAGACACAAAGCAGAGAAATCCATACATGGCTCCAGTGATCACACTAATGTTAATGGTGACATGCATCGTTGAACAAGAAATCTTCAGTAGAGAGGGGACATCACAGAAGAACTGTGGCACTTTTCTGGAACCACAGAATGATAAAGAGAAGGTGCCATATGAATATAAGACCCCAAAGAGACTTCCAAATACCCAAGAAGTAGCTACCATCTGCACACAAACTGCCCTATTCATGATGGCATCATAGTGTAGCGGGCGACAGATGGCCACATAGCGGTCATAGGACATGGCTGAGAGGATGGATATTTCTGATGTAACAAAGGAAACCACGAACAAGACCTGACACACACATCCTGGGAAAGAGATAGTGCTCCTGTGAGAAAAAGAGCTGAGAATGAGCTTTGGGACTGTGACTGAAATAAGGCACACATCGAGGACAGACAAATTCTTTAGGAAGAAGTACATGGGGGTGTGAAGACATTGGTCCACAGTGACCAGCACGATGATGAGAAGGTTCCCCATGAGGGACACCAAGTAAATCAGCAGAAACAGAAAGCCCTGTATCATCTGGAGCTGCTTGCTGTCAGAGAATTCCATGAGGAAGAAATCTGTCTCCACTGTAAGGTTGGTCATGTCGTCTGTTGTGCGCCTACTGTGAGACAAAGGAAGGAAAATATTCATGAGGAGCTTGTGGTGAGGCTTCTTCTTGTCTATCAATGCAGTTTTCTTTTTTTGTCACTGTGTTATCTTTGTAAAACATGGACATTTTAACAATGCTAAATACTTGTAGAGTTCTTATGAACTTTCAATATGCAATTTTTAGTATGCATTATAATAACACATATGGTTAGAGGTTCAGACAGAATTATTCAATTTTAGTTGACTTGATATATTTATTAACAAATAATTGTATGTTTTTTCATGAATTATTAGTTGAAGTTCTAAATAAAAATTACTGAAAATAGTAAAATTGTAAGCCTACTGAGAGAATCTATTCTGAATCGTTTCCTCAGTTGAACAGTAAGTAACATAAACAGAGGACATAAAAAGTGTTTATTTTGTGAGATACATTTTTCAAATTCATAAAATGGTTGGGCAGGTATGTCAGGGGGAGTATGCTGGCCTCGAGGGCTTAAATCTCTTGCTTTGAGTTATGGTACTCTGGGAAAAAAGGCAAACAATACAAAAGAGTGAAGAGCACATTAATAGTTCTATGATTATATCATTTCCCCAAAATATACAGTAGTGATGGATAAGTGAGAGAAACATATGGTTATTGGGAAACAGTAACCACTTGTGATGCACCAATCTATTCTCAGTCACTCTCTGTCTCTTTCTTTCATATTCTGTCTCCCTGTCTTCCTCTCCCTCTGACAGATGGCCAGACATGCATTATCTCAGTCAAATAATATTTGTACAATTATAGCAACAAATGGAAGCAAATGATACCAAAAGACTAGATGCTAAACAAATTAGCTATAATAAGTAGAATTAGATCATGGTGAATATGAATAACATCACTATGTAGAAGTGAACTCTGCAGGGAGGATGAGTAACACATTTGAGGAATAATGAAATGAAGGAAATGTTTTGTAGAGAATACAGGGTAACTGTTTTGTGACACTATTTCTGAGGAGACATGACTGAATGTCTCCTCACAACAGATAGGGAACCAATGACAGATAAAAGCAAGGATACCACTAAAGTCTAACTTGGTCAACCAATGAGTTTTATTGGGGTACTTAAAGGAATATGGATGAGCTGTTACTTATAGGAATAGAAATCATTCAAAAACAGCTGACTTACTGAAAGCCCACCCCAGCATGGGTAGCAGCTAATGAAAACATGAGACCTGGATCTCACTATAGAACCTTTAGACAACTGTCACTACATTGCAGCGTATTCCTTACAGGTAGCTCAGTTGTTCTAAGTCCCTTCAGGCAGCTCTGCTTATCTGAGAATGCCACTCTTGCAGGCTTGCAGTTGGAGGAGCTTAGTGAATCTGCTTAGTTTTAGGGACTTCTAATACTATTGCATTGTTTACTTTATGAGCTCAATGAGTTTCCCTGAAGAACGGAATGTTTCACCTCCTCTCAGAACATCCTGTTTACTCTACTTCCCTCCAAAATGGAAGGCATTTTTTTTCCTTGAAGGAAATTGCTACACAACACTAACATTAATTGAATTTAAAAATTCAATTATTAGCTGAGTTCTTGATGCAAATGACTGAAAACAGCAAATTTGTAAAGCCACTGATAGAAAAATAGAATCTGACTCTTTCTCTAAATGATCCTGATTTGAACACTAAGTACTATAAGCATAGTACATTACACATAACACTAAGTACATAAAGCACATTAAAAAATGCTTTATTTTGTTAGAAACATTTTTCAAATGTATAAAACTTATTTTCTAAAATTTCTAAAATTATTTTCTAAAAGCAAGGACATACTTGTTAATTACATCAACTAAATTCTGCCCAACTTTTTACATAAACAATGGAAATTAATACCTGTTCCAGTCAAGACAGCAGAACCTTGAGAAATCCCAGATTTCAAGGATGGCACATACAGGAGAGTTAGGAAATAACTTTTGCAATTCTAAACCTAGAGTCCATCAAGTCAGATGATGATATATTGTCTCATTGTGAAGAGTATAACAAGTTAATGTTTCATATAGGTGATTGTCTACAGCTGGAAAGCAAGGTGAGGCAGAGTGAAGGGTTTGCCTCCTTGAGCTTTTCAGAGTGAGCTGGAGCCACAGTACTGTGGATAGAGAGGCCTCTCCCTGACAGTGTCATAAAGTGAGATGGTTACACTCCTACAAACTCTGTAGGAAGCTTTGTTCATTTTGTTACATTCTTAATCATACTTTCATCGAGGTTTTCAGTGGGAGGGTGTTTGTTCCCCTATATTTTAGGCTTTGTTGTGTTTATTATTCTGAATAACCTATTTTTTCTCCTCTGTCTTTCAAGATAGATAAAAGTTCTAAGAAATAAATACAACTGAAATAAGTCAGAAGGATATGACAAAAACATTGAAGAAGTCTTTCTACAACAGTATGATTAATGTTTTCTAGCTATAGATTTTCTTTTACTTCTTGGTTTTACTTCCTAATGAATAATTTGGATTCTTTGACTCACAAGAAAATTCCATCTCTCAGATAAGCTTTATGCTCATATGAACACTGATTCAGTTGTGTGTCTTTAGAAGCCATTCTCCCTAGTGATTTGGATACTGTGTTTTAGCCCAGTCTGAACCCCACAACAATCCTTTCAATGTAGTACTGCTATTATAACCATACAGTGTATGGTGAACCAAGTTCACCATTCTTAAAAATTATACATCTTGAGCCAGACATGGTGGTGCTCACCTTTAATCTCAGCACTCAGAAAGGCAGAGGCAGACATATCTCTCTGAGATCAAGGCCAGCTTGGTCTACGTTGGGAGTTCCAGGGAAGATGGGGCTACATGGAAAACTTGTCTCAAAAAGACAAAGATGTTATTAATAGTCATACACCTGAACAATGAGAAAGGATGCCTTTCAGTTATTTGTATTTGCCTTCAATATCTTTATTAGTTTAGATGCAAGGTGGGTGATGAATCATTAACTATTTATTTGTTTGTATGTCTAAGAATGTTTTGTCTGAACCATGTAGGTGCACACATGTATTCAATGCCTGTTGAGGCCAGAAAAGGGTATCAGGTTCTCTGAAACTGGAGTTATGAATGATCCATAACCACCATGTGGGTGCTGAGAACCACACCCAGGTCCTGTAGATGAGCAGCCAGTTTGCTTAACTGTTGAGCTATCTCTCTAGCCCCTCGTTGTTAACTTTTAATCTAATTTGTATTGGTGCAGGTGCTAGATGACCTTTTATGTGCTTTGTTTGAAATACCAATAAACATAGCTCCACGACCAGATTAAAATGTGGTGTGCAGTCAATTTGTTCCTGTACATCTCAAAAATGACCGTTTGACAGTCATATTATAGGATAGTGGCTCAGGATCATGATTACAAACAGACAAGGACCTTGAACTTTGGCAATATGGCTTTTAGGAATATCCTGGAAAAGTTCATAGAACAAAAGACAGGTTTGAATTTCTCCCAACACCAGGAAATAATGAATCTTTTGCAGTTGAGGAAAAAGTCATCAACATTCTTACCCAGCTATGAACCTTATGAACTGCACCAAGGACCAATGTGGCAAGAAATGACCATGGATGAAAGAGTGACCCAAATGTTATGGGGTAATCAACTGTTTTCTGATTGGATTTACTACATGAAGATATACCTGCCTGGTACTGTAAATCTGGCTAATAGCACACAGTTTGGGAGCTTATAGACCTCAGGGGTGAACCTACTACTACTTTTCTGCTAAATGGACATAGTATTAAGCTGCTCTCCAAATTTGTCTCTTTCTATTCATAGGTTATTGCGGCTCTCAAACACCATCAGTGGAGGTTTTTGTGCAAAGGACGGTGTTTAATGAGGAAACTCACGAGTGGTCAAAGTGCAGAAAATAAGTTTCAGTGGAGTATTCGGCCACAAATGGGATATCTACCACACACCAATCCTGAAGGTTCAGGGATGAAAGGGAGTAGAAAGATTGTAAGAGGGAGAGGTTGGGGGAAGGCTGGAGTACAACAGCCTCTTCTGGACATGACAGGACTCCTGCACTCATGATCTCACTGCAGCTGTGTTTGCCTGCACAATGTCAAGGCTAGTCAACATTCCAACACAGAGTGGGAAGAGGTTCATGAGCCCCCCATCCATAATTGAGGTGGTATGGAGAGTTGATGGCTTCTGAAGGGGGAAGAGTCAGATATCCTTAAGGGTGTGGCTCTTGGTAGATCTACCACACTCCAGTGGATGGTCCTAACAATATTTCTCATAGTTCTCAAACTGAAGACTGCAAAAAATAGAAGTAGTGCTTTGAGTTGCACTTAGCCTCAGGGAGCAGGGTTGCTGCCTTCTACCTCTGCTCCCACTGAACACGTGTTACAAAACAGTCCTGAAACTTAATCAAATAAAACTATTGTATAGCACAAATTGAAGTCAATGGGCTATTAAGAAAAATAAGGATGCACATCTGGGGTGGAGTGATAGTGAGGTGGGGTGGATCTTGGAAGAGTTAGTTGAAGAAGTTAGGGATGAATATGAACAAACTGCATTGTATGAAATACTCAAAGTATTAACTTAAAATTTATAAAAATTAAATTAAATTTATAAAAAGTTTATCTTTCTCTAAATATAAATTCTAGTTAGGCAAATATAATTTCTGACTGCACAATCATATCAAAATATCACATTTTACCCCACATTTATGAAATATATGATATAATTTAAAATTTTTAAATCAGCAATTGAGGTGAACACTTCAAAGAAAATTTGATTTTGCATAATCTGCTCCTACTTGAAAGCCCTTACATATAAATAGACTTCTCTGCATTGCCTCTGGTGTACACCACTCTCCTCACTTCCATTTCTACAATCTTATGAAACCACGGAATTCTGACTTACCTGGCAGGATGAACAATGTCATTTTTTGTTTTACTCCACAGCCTTTCTACTATCCATAGTGTGAGAAACAAACTCAGTGACTCAATTTATCTAAACTGTTCATCGTTTTAATGAG